TATTATCTTTTTTTATTAAATAATAAAAAATGTTTAGTAAGTGAATACCTTAATTTTTGCTTATCTCTAGGTCTTATTTATTCTTATAATCTTTCAAATATATAGCGTATTGTCTATAGCATCATTTTACAACTATTTTGTACTATTAGTGTATTATTATTAGTGCCCTCTTTACACTGAGAAAAAAAGTTGTTAACTTGACTAAATGCATTTAATGATTATTTAGTTCAAATATTTATATATTTAGATTAACAAAATCTTGTAATTTAAAACATGTTATTTGTTTGAATTAACAAATATTTAGTTGAATTAACAAATATTTGTTTGACAGTCCATGATCGCTACATTTAGTTGAATCAATTAATATTTTTTTGAAATAGCAACTTTTTTTTCTCAGTGTAAGCGTTTTTTTCTCCTAAATTATTATTACAATGAATATTATTGTAATAATACGATAAATATTATTGTATATTACAATGAATATTATTGAACAATATTTAAAATTGTACAATATCATTGATCATTTGGAGATAATATTAAAGGTTTATATAATATAAACTTTGTCAATTAAAAGTTATTTGAAATATATTGCAATTTGAAAATATTGGTCTATCTGTAAGTACATGTTATTGCGCAATAAGATGCCAATTTATGACGATCGACGCTCATTTTTAGCTCTTAGACGATCAATATTATTACACATTACTTGATATCACATTATCATCTATGATCGCCTGGAGGCTATATTGAACCATCAGGTTGTTTGTTTTAAAGAAGACATCTTTAACATTGTCCAAAATTCAAATTAACAGTCTGGAAGCTCAATATAATTTCTCTATCCATAATATTGTGCAACAATTGATTATCAAAGTATTGTTTAAGGTTTAGAAATAGCAATTTCATGCGAAAATTCAATTACATATACATATCGGTATAGGTATTTCGCGTATGAAATCATGAATCTCAGGTATAATCGCAGTTGCACGTCAACGAGCGGAAGGACGACGAATCGTTCGGTTGCGTAGGTTCGCGATGATTTTAATATGTTTTCGCCAGTCATCGCGCATCATCCCGTTACGTCTTCGGCGACTGAGGTCGATATCAGATCGCCACGCTTCGACGTCGGCTATATAATTCGCCGGAGCGAATACGCACCGTCTGGTTTCGAGCGAGAAGAACGCTAGGGACGTCGTGCGGGGCGATGCGTACGGAGGGGATATTCAAATGGCCCTACTCTTGTATGGAAATGCGCGAGATGTAAAGATGACGGTGGGATACGATGCGAGCCCCGTCGCGGGGATATTACCAGTCGTTAGCGCGACAAGCCAGCTACGATAACGCTTCTCGAGGTCGTCCTCCTTGAACTCCGTGGCTTTTAAGGTCCTCGTGCGCGAGCCGACGATGATTGATAATGAAAACGGTACGTGGGGCAAGCTATTTAAATACGGAGAGAGGAAACTATTATCCATTAATCTCGTTTGTGATTTAGTTTGTACTTTCATCGCCAGATATATACGAGAGACGGATGGACTAGGTTGCGAGAATGAAATGTTGACTTTTAATAGACTATTTTAACGTAACGCGCGCCCTTCTCTCGTAGAAGTTCCACCATTAACTGTACGATTGGCAGAAAGAGAACGCATATTCGTAATGATGAAAAACATCACTGCAACCCTGTGCCTCACAACGTGTAATTTCGTGGGCTGTGCAAACGTCGAAACTTTCGCGGACCTACGAGGGAGATATATGACCGAGTACCCTCGTCACTTAAAAAATCGAGCGCGTCTGAGCGCTCAAGTCAGTTCAAGGGAGATTTGGACCCTTCGGGCCAAAACGAGATAGTCTTACACTCGTCGTAATAGGCAACTCGGACGCCAAGGTGTTATTAAAAGCGGCAGAAAAGCCGCGTAACAATTAAAAAATTACTCTCACGTTTTGTACGTGGGAACTCTCGAATGAGCTTTCAAGATCCTCTCGTTCGCGGCCACCTGAAAAGGGTGGCATTTAGCTATTCATCGTTTTGTGTGCAAAAGAAAAATATATGAGACGTTAGAACCAATATATGAAAAGATACATGAAAGATTGAATCATATTCTACAGGCTGAGTCAGACATCTTACTATACCATAACTTGCTTCAAATACATGGCTCTAAAAAGTATATACAGAATTTATGCGCGAGCAAAGGACACACCAATACATGTCCCATACAGTATACTTTATCTTAGGAACGTTCTGAGGAAGATTTAGAACATAAAATGTTTTCTAGATGTTTTAAGAACATCCTTTGAATATCTGAACTGTATGAAATGTGCATTTATACGTTATATAAGATGCAGTCTTTTTGGCACTATAAATGTTTCGAAGCTTTGTAATCTTTTTAAATAGTTCGTATAATAGTTGGTACATCGAATATACTGTTGCATGTTACATCAGCCAATAGCAATACATCGATTATATTACATCGTTCTTTCTACGTCATTATAATACATAAGTGTCAGAGTCAACGTCATATGGACAGTAAATAAGGAAATTAGCAATCAAGTGTACTAGGAAAAAATTTGTCTTAAAGAAAAATTGTTTAGTTAAGGCGTTTTTCAGCAGCAATGAAATATTTTATACGACAAAAAAATTTAGTTGCTTCTGCTTAATATTTTCAGCATTTTAAATAACTAAAATATTAGTCTATACTAACTAAATGATTTAATTAGTATAAATAAATATTTTTGTTCGATATATTTTAACCAAACAATTTTGTTCCGTTCATTTTAAGTTTCATCGAACAAAACAGTACAACTTAATATTACACTAGAAAAAACTGTTTTATTCTATAAACTAAAATTTTGTTGTAGCAACAAAATATTTGATTAATCTACGTTGAACAAAAATGTTTGATTATATTCATTAATCGTTTAGTTGATATAAATAATTATTTTTGTAATTTGTAAATCTGAAAAATGTATTGAGCAGGAAGAACTAAATTTGTTATACATATAAATAAAGTATTTTATTGCTGTCAAGCAATGCCAGTTTTACTGAAAGCACTAATTTTTTCCCTAGTGTACATATATAGATATTTGTGTTGAGTGCTTTTTATCCTTGCTAGTGACCTTTGTTAATGATTAAATACAATGACGAACATGCGAGGCAGCTTCCATTGCGATCAAACCGCAGATCTTCGTATGTGTCAATGGCGTCGGTCAATTTCTGCGATAATTAGATGCGATACGAGAGAGATACATGGCCATCGTATCCTCACGAGGGTCGACCTAATTAGGTATCGATCTTCTGAATAGATACCCTCCGTCATAAAGTAACATGCCTTCAATAATTGTACGAGATACCTCTTGGATAAAAGCCCGGTGTACAATTGCGTTAGTCTAGCATCTCAATTATCGATCGCATCAGCGTCTATCATCAATAACTCTACGGCTCATTACGGATATCGTTCAATAACACTATTGTCCATTGGAATATTTTCTTAATCGTATTACTGTTGACGAATGCACTATTGTTATTACAGATGAAGGCGAATGATAATATTAAGGATATGACATATGTACAGTTTATCTGACGCAAGTTCTAACAGATGTATTGTTTCAACGCAACAAAGTTGCCATGTATCTATGCTAGAAATCATGCCTCGGTTTAAAAAAAGGGGAAAGTGCGAAAAAGATAGATAGAGAAGAAATTTATTCTTTCACATACGAGGGGAATCTCAAAATTTCAGAGATAAAATCGCTTTCGCACTGAATAGAACTGCCTAACGTTTAAATCTGTTTAACACAGCGATATACTGACGCATTTTGCGCGGGGAATGATTGTTGATATCCACTATTCTTCAGTCAAAGGTGATTTATCGCATGAACCGAGAATTTTACAGGAGCCAGAATTGGTAGAAAGCCAAACATGATCTGGCACATTGTACGGTAAGAGGATAATAAGCGGCGGACCGGACGATAATCGGGGATTCACACGATGAGTTTCCGCATCGGCGCCGCCGCCGCCGCCGCCGCCGCAGCCGCAGCCACGCGGATGCCTTTCGCGGCCGAAAGGAAAATGGCAGATCAGATAGGCTCGCAGCCGTTTAGCATGCAACGATGCATTCATATCGATCGACGCATGCATATGCAACACCTCGCCGCGCGTTACCGGTATGCATTTCGCGCGCGTGCAATGGGGAAGAGACGTGAAGACGCCGACGCATACATTTTACGCGTGTGGTGTGTGTAGGCATGCGTTACGACGCACCCGTTAATTACCGTCACCCGCTTACCAAAAAATTAAGGGACTGCGATCAGTGTCGGTCATTCCACTCGGATTCTCGCCGATCGCAAAGTGGATGAGAACTTCGTTAGATAGCTCTCGATTTTGCGTTTACACGTTCATCCTTTAATTATATTACTTGTTTGAGATAATTCATATATTTCTAAATCTAAAATAATCTTTCACGAATCATCAGCGTTGTAGAAGTCTGCTTTTGTAGAATTCTTTTGGAACGATAATACTTCGTAACTAAAATATAAGCGGAAACGTCGTGATCCCTCGATAACAGAAATTCGTGTCTTGTCTACTTTCTTTAAACGCATTGAGGATGACGGATTTTGCTAATGGGCGAAACGTACCGTATCGTTTCGCTCAACATGAATATTCACAGCCTGATATATTTCCGCGCGTGAATATTTGCATTTTGTAAAATTAGTAAGAGCGATATCGCGATCTTAGAGCGTGAAAAATTACGAGATCGAAAGTGTTAGACACATGAGATTGAAAACCAATAGATATAGCTGTCGCGCATATAACGAGGGATTTTCGCGCAACTAACAAACTAGGTGTAGAAAATCATTAGACTGATTTCCTTTTATGGAATAATAGTATATACTTGACGGTGATAGCCGATGATGCTTACTTGAAAGTTGCCATGCGCGTAACCAGACAGCCATCCAGTGATCAACGCTTGACGTTCGTTTGCCTCGGCATAGGAGGCATCATGCACACTTACCGGCTGAAACAAAATAGCAAAAGGACAAAACTTGGAGCAATCGGTTTTATAAAAGACAATTAACTTATTAACTTATGCACGCTAACAACAGTATGATACGATGGAGCAACATAAAAAATGATTTTAGACTTTGTTTTCAATATTTCAAGAAGCAAATTTTTAGAAGAAATGATTTAATTTTTTGTAGGTACGTTTTATTCTATTCAAATTTAAGTAGAAGTTAAATAAAGAGAGAATAATAGAATTTAATAGCATTAAAAATACTGCAGTATACAGTGTTCGTTTTTTCTTTTGTGTATCAGCAATATTAGAATTAATATTAATAAATATGAAATAATATCTGATATTAATAAATATGAATAAATATCTGAAAAGGTTAAAGAAATTCCTTACTTTTAGTAACGATTTTATTATATGTAAGAAATGAAGAATTCCAGATCGTCTTCCTCTGACTTCAAGTGATTTCAATTGCTCTATATATGTATTGTATTCTCTCTCATTAATGTTATTACAAAAAACTTAAAGTCTTCATAAAAAGTGAAAACTGACATTCCTTAAATCACAATACAAAAGGACCATTTAATTATAGTTTGCCGTTTTGATCGATCGAGATCTTCAAGTTATGATCGACCGGAACGCTCCATTAAGATTTTTGATCACATTGTACAAATCCGTAACTTTCTACATATATATGTTCTCATCGAGATATAATGCGCGTATTATTATATCGGGATAATTATTATTACTGACTGAAAAACCGGATTTTTATAAGAGAGAGACTTTAAAGAGAGTGCAGGAAAAGCCAGATCGCGATCGACCGTGAACAGAACAAAAGCGACCTAGTTGGCGGAATGTCCGAAAAATTCTAACGTACAGCGATGACTCTCAAGCTAATATCTATATCTTACAACTTAAAGGTCCGTTCCAAATCAGATATAAAAATTCGGATAAACTATTTAATATTTATCTAGAGAAATCTCTGGGCGATCAGTGCGTGTATACCATATGGAATAAATATCATTCGCATCAATATCGCTGCAAGAGAGTTTCGAATTTAAACAGTTATTCGTTTCGTTTTTTGACTCCGTACTCCGTAATGTTCCTTCTGAAATATTAGAATTTTGTTTCTGTTGTGCCAGAATTCCATTCTGAAAAGTTGGCAACGCCGGTGCCATCGGGGACCAGCGAGGGGTGGCTCGTGCGCGTTGTCGTGCGAGGGTATACGTGTAGGCGAGTTTGCGCGTGTAAAATGTACATAGAGAGAGAAAGAGAGAGAGAGAGAGAGAGAGAGAGAGAGAGAGAAAGAGAGAGATAGAGGCGCGGCGCGATGCGCCCGGTAAGAGGAAGACGTGATCGATGCCCGTGGGATGCGAGGGCGTTCCTGGTGCGGGAGGCGCCCGAGACAAATGGACGTCGCGCGTCTACCGACCACGCCTTCCCGCGGGAGAAGAAACTCCGTTGCGTGTATGTACTCTCCCGCTTCGCCACGGATTCTCCCGACGTCTTCGACGAGGTTCCGCGGCCGGGTCGACCGGCCGCTCTGCTCGCCTCGCGGTGATGACCGCTGCGGAGAGGGGTTTTCCCTTTGAACGTCTTCCGACCCTATCTTACTTCACGCGTCCTGGCGAACTTGAGGCAGTATCTCGCCATCGAGAATCAAGTTGGGATCAGATAAGCCGCCGATTGTGTTCCGGTAATTAATGTCAATCATACGGTAAATGAAAGGATCGGTCTCGCAAGCTTGATAATAATAGTCTGCTTATACCGAATTATTTTATTCATAGTCGAGGCGAATACACTTGTACACTGAAAAAAAATGTAACTAAATTTCATAAATATTTAAATAGTATTAAAAATTTACTAAATATAAAGACATATTTATTTGGTAAAAAAAATCATTAATTTAACTATTAGTTAATTTAACTATTAGTTTATTTTTTACCGAGGAAATATTTATTTAATGTAAGTAAATGTTTAGTTACTATTGAAAAAAATTAGTCTAAGAGATTTAGTAAATTTTTTTCTCTCACGTCAGTAGGTATATATTAGGTGTAGTAAAAAGAAATCCTGTCTACGCGTGATACAGATTACTAAAACCATCTATTGGAAAAATAATGGATTTCTTTTTACTACACCTAATATTAAGTGGAGCAGAGAGATACTTTGTGAGTTGATTATACATATGCATCCAATATTACGAACGATGCGTTGTAGAATACGAAAGTCAGAGAAAAAAAATCGATTTAAAAGATACATATATATTGAGTGCAGCGAACACTCGTCTTCTATATATAGGAGCAAAGAGATCGCGTCGACGAGCGTGATGACTTTGCGGATACGTGTTCCGCTCGTATTCGCGCGGCTTTCCGCTTTACACGAGAAGAGCAACGAGACTGCTGCCGCGCGCTCCCATCACCTTTCTATAAATAATCCCGCGAGGCGAGAAAGAATCGTTGCTCGCGAAGAGGGAAACGCACGAGCGAAGGTACGAAAGGCACGGTATTTAAATTCAAGCGAAGCAGAACGGCGTACAAACAAGGCGAGCGGCGATAAATATTCAACGAGCCTCGGGAAGTTACGTCAATCCCGGGTCTATGGTACGAGCCCCTCTCGCTTTACTCCGAGCTACGCTCGTTCGCCACTGCTCGTCCCATCGCAACTGTCACGAAACCAAGCAGCCTGTGCGCAAGAGAAAAAGATTTTGGACCTTTACAGGGTGATGTATCGTATATCGCACGGGGAACTTTCGTTCGGAAATGACACTATCACTATCGAGTGGCAAGTATTTAAGAGCCGCGCACGCGGAACGGCTCGGTCGGGGGTGAAGTCACGATTGGATCGCTGGTGGTGATGGAAAACGATGCGCGGGAGGCGTCAAGAGTCGCGTCAAGATTATCGGCGGTGAGACCACCCAAAGCGCCCGAGAACTATCGTCCATACGCGAAGAATGGTTAACGATAGCGAAAACCTGTCCTAACAGCGGGATCCGCGAGATAAGGTGGTGAATGCAGGTGTTTAGCGGCCGTCCAGTCATCGTATTGTCATTACTTACGACTGACATCGCGAAGCAGTGAAACGTTCGACGTCGTTGATCGCGCCGCGGGGGTCGGACACTCTTTTAAATTTCGAGAACACGCGTGCTTGGCCAACGTCGCGTTTTTGTCACGTCATCGACAGCCGAAGTGTCTCGACTCGCCATAGCATTGCATCGGCGGTGCGTTGGTGATTCACTATCGTCGAGATGCTGCTATATCACTCGTGGATGGGCAGGTAGACTTACAAAGTAAGGTTGAATGAATTATCGCTTCGATGTAGTAGGGACGGTTCAGGAAAGAAGGTGAAAGCTCTCGCGCGCAAATCATTATTATTACATAAAATGTAATCTTGAGTTGAGACTGGAACAATTCATTTTTATACCTTCAATATTTTATTTTTCATTGTTAAAGAAATATAAAAACCATTTTAGATCTGTTTGCGCTGCTTGCACTTTTTGCACTTAGCATCTTCTCTTCAACGTCCAATTACCTCACTTTATCTCACTCTGAGTGCAAAAATTTTTTAAGATTTCAAGCGAACAGACCTTTTATCAATACGTAGAACGTATTTCTGTGCAACATAGTAAATCTCCGAGACAATCGTAACGCGCAAGTTGCTGATACACGTTGGCATAATATGTTTTCGACATTAACGACAATGCAACAAAATTTGTATGGACATTAGACATGTCGCACGACACCTGTGCGTCGATGATTGATGTCAGTATACGCACAATGCGCGTATATTGTCCAACAACGTGAATCGTGCCCAACTCAGCTGGAGGTGGACCCGCGGTGATATAACATAGGTCTTTACGACCCGTCAAGATGTTTATCCGACAAGAATCTTGATCCTCTCGCGCTTCGCGTAGATTATTTTAAAGACTTTTCAGATAGACACCCATTGTTCAGCGCATATTAGGTTAATCTGGATCCTAATTTTATCGTAATTGTATTATGACAATCTTCTTATTATTGCAAAAAATCTGTCTTTAAACATGATAAATTGTTATTAAAACACTTAATCACTCCTCTTTTTGTTGCAAATATGTAATATTACGGAAATTCTGCGAAATGACCGTCAAAGTGTGAGTCATAAATTAATTTATAATTTTTACACAATGTATCTAATATTTCATTGTTAAAAATTCGTATTTAAAAAATATATATATATACGATTTTTACGAAATAAAAAAATATTTAGTATTGAAATAAAATAATTAATTAGAGAAGAGAATTAATGCAGCGTTTATAAGAATGATAAATCAAGTTGAAAAGAAATGAATTTTAGAAATTTTAAGATTTTTGCAACGCTGCACATTCTATTTTATACTTTGTCTCAAAATATTTTTTAATCCATATATAATATTTCTCTAATCTTGTATCGCTGTTGTTTCATCATTTAATAGCGCTTTATATTTTATTTTTCCTTCTCTTTCTTTTTTTTAAATAATTTTATACGTTATTAAAATCCAATTTGTAACTAGGCAGTAAGATTATTATTATTATTATTATTATTGTTATTGTTATTGTTATTGTTATTGTTATTGTTATTGTTATTGTTATTGTTATTGTTATTGTTATTGTTATTGTTATTGTTATTGTTATTGTTATTGTTATTGTTATTGTTATTGTTATTGTTATTGTTATTGTTATTGTTATTGTTATTGTTATTGTTATTGTTATTGTTATTGTTATTGTTATTGTTATTGTTATTGTTATTGTTATTGTTATTGTTATTGTTATTGTTATTGTTATTGTTATTATTGTTATTATTATTATTATTATTATTCTCTCTATAATACCTAACATATATATGGAAAAAAATTAATTGGGTGGTATAGCAAACCTATAATTTACTACGCGAATTCAATATCGATAACTAAGAAGATTTGATGGTTCGACAAATCGCTAATGTTATTCGCTAATGTCAACTTTGCTATTTGAACATAGAAAATTGACTGTATA